TTGGCAGCCCCCATGAGGCATGCAACTAAGACAGATGAACAGTCTTGCTAATGAATGGGGACTGGGATTCAAATATTCCCTTCCATGGGAACTATGCATCTCTCCAACAGAGAAATGAAATCATTGAGACAGGCTGATTAGAAAAACAAAGCAATATTATTATATCTGCCTGCCATGCGTATCACCGGATACTTGCGATTTATGACAGATACCACAAATAGCAAAATAAACATGAAAGACCATTTATCACAACCATGTCTACACTAATACAGGGAAGAGGAGAATAGAGGCAACCAACTGAATATTTGAGGCAAAATCTTCTCCTGAAATATCCAAACTATGAGTCAAAATAATACCTTACACTAAAAAGTCACTAATTCAATTTTGGTGACATTTCCCTAAGAGACTAGGTTGACATATTACATCACAGAAAAAGTCTTTGCTAAGAAAATAATGGGATTAACGTAATTGTAAGACCAAAATTTAAACTAGTCAAGGAAAGAACTAGTTTAGAATCCTTATGGCACTTGAAAAGCACTTTAAGGACTCTGCTTCCATGCAATCAGTTGATATACACTAGGGTATAGGAATTGATTTTTAAACTAATTATATTTTTTGATTATGGCCTGCACACAGGGTGCAGAATTTCACAAAGTCAATGGAAGGGGAGCTGGGGACACACATGAATCAGATGCCAAGCCATCGACAAATGAAGGTCTGGCAGAATTACACCAGTTCATCATGGAAGAATGGAAAATTGACAAGGATGACGCCAGGACAGTGCTTCAATGAGGGTGATTTAAATAAAAAAGAATTAAGGGAAGTTCTTGGAATAGAGCTTCTTTATAATCTTGCCGTGAAAATCAAGCAAAGGCTATTATATGGTTTTGTCAGAAAAATTATGCCCTCGAAAAAAGCCACACGTGTTTCATTCTGAATAATTATTATAAAAATTAACATATCAGTGCAATTATAACCTACATTTTATAAAATACAGGAAAATTTATTTTCATTACCTTTAGTTTCATTTTTCACAATGATGTTCCAGTCAAACTTCTTTTGGACCCTGTTGTAAGGAAACTCATTTTAAGAGCCCTTTTCAGGTACCGACTGTCCTTGGATAAGAGGACTCACTGTCAGCGTCTCATCTCTCTCCCTCTCATTGGTTTGGTCTCTAGATCTGGGGTCTAAAAACCCAGGTGTGATTCTGTTCTCCCTCTCTGTTCCCCTCCCTGGCACACGCCACAAATATCTAAATGTACATCAACCTGATTTTTAGAGTAGTCAACTACAGCCGCAATCTCAACGTTTTTCCATCCAAATACATATGGTGAATGATGTCCATCATCAAGATATTCTCCCATGAGCAACCCAAACTGATGAGCAATTCCTGCCACTAGATGTAACTCCTTCTCTTTTACCCCAACTCAGGAGAGCAAGTCAGAATGGAAGCATGGAATTATTACAGAGGCTTTGAATCTTCCATGATGTTTCTTTAATTTTGTAATTTTATGCTATCTGTAAGAAATTAATTTTTCATCATTATAGTTGAAAGCCAATCATTGCCCTAAAACTCTCTAGGAGGTGGCTGTAACTGAACCCCAATCACTTTATGCTCTTGAAAGTTACATATTAAAAGTGTACTTCTTTTAAACTACTCTGTTGTTTCTTAATTCTCTCCTCCACTTTGAATGACATTTGACGGCATGGCAAGCCACCTGTGCAACAGACCTGAACATGTGTATCCATGGACCTGGATGCTGCATGCATTGAGAATAACTCACAGTGAGCATTCAGGAGAATAAGGTGGGAGGTCTGGAAAAGCCTTCTTAAAGGGGATGCTCATTCTGCGTATCCTCAACATCCAGGGGAAGAGGCAGGAATCCAGACTGGGAATCTCCTCTGTTCTAGTATCTGACAAATATGACAATGATCATAAAAGCCATAATCTTGCAACAGGAAACAAATCTGGTACTGATTTCCTACCAAGATGACAAGTGGCAAGAAGACACTCATGTTTTCAGGAGTATGCCCTTTTACATTATTATAGTTTTCTCCTGCAAATTGCTTGAGAGCTAGGAGGTGTCCTGGCATCTCTTTCTCTCCCAGAGTTCCCAATTTGTTTTCATTATTTACCAGCCCAACACCTCAACTAGACTGAGGCACAATAGCAAAAGAGGCAGGAGGAAAAATTAATATTTTCTACGTGGGCTTCCTCATCTTGTGTAGATTTATGAATTTCATTGCTGTTATGCAGAAGTTAGCATTTTTAACAACAAGAGGGAGAAATTCTTAATTGTTTTTTATTGCCTCAAGAGCCCCAAAGACATCTTGTGCTATGTCGTCATTTACATTTCACATTACATGCAAAATGTTTGAAATGAGCAAATATTTGTTTTAATTTTTACCCATCTGTTAACTGAAATGCTAAAAAGACAGCTAAATCACTACATTAAATTCAGCAATTTGTAAACAATATATATGTTCATTTGTTCTGGGTTAAAAATGCCCCAAAGTCTTATGACACCCACAAAGTTAAATGGCATTGTATTAATCTGAGGGATGCAGGCCATGATTTCCTTCTCTTCACTCCAATAATTTATTTCCTAACTTGAGTTAATTAGTGAGGTTCCTATTTTTAAAAGCTCTTTGAAATTCATTGAGGGAGGAGGACATTTGCAAGGACTGCTTTGAAAACCTACCACACAGGAAACAGGCTAAATACAAATGGTAAATTCCCCTAAGACATTGAAGCACACTGTGCACCTGATTGTCCTTCAACAATCTATATGCCAGGAATACAGTGGGTGATTAATAAATAGTTGTTCAGAGAAAGACTGAGAGAGCTAGAATGAAAGAGTAAGAGTAGCAACAGAACAAACTCATTCCAGACACTCACTAACAGGATGAGATGGTCTCTGGTCTCCAGGGTCATTTCCATCTCAAAATCAAGGTCTGTGGCATTGTGATTTTATGGTACAAAATAGGACTGGGTTTAACTTGGAGCAATAGCCACTGGCCCGAGGGAGAAAAGACATATATTCAGAGAAACAAAAAAAAAAAGAGAGAAAGAAACACAGTTTGGTAAAATAGAGAATAAAGATAAATCAATTACGTTTCCTTTTTGTCAAAGGAAGCCTTGGTGCTGAAGTTAGAATGAAAGGTAGTTGGAGACCACTGCACCCATTCCTATTCTGTCTTTCTGGTTTTTCCTTTACCCCCTAATTCTTATCGACTCAAACCAGTGTCCTCATCAAAAACATGCACTAAGAGGAGGAAAAAGATTTCATCCACACCAAGTATGCATCACTGCTACCAGTTTAAGATAGGCCTCCACTGGGGAAGACAGCACTAGCCTTTAAACAGAAGTTCAAGCTTTAAGCAAAAGTGATGTCCATTTCTTCCTTTGCTACTTTGGGCAGTGGGTGACAGAGACTGAGCTGCACTGGATGCCCTTCCCTGTGTCACCTGCCATGGATTCCGTACTCCAACTTCCAGAAAGGCTGGCCCTCGGAGGCAGCAACACCACCAGCCTAATCTAAGTAGCACCTTCCTTGTCAAATTCCTGCCTTCTTTCACTACACCTTCACCACACGCCTGTGAGAGCCGGGGGCAGAAATTCATTTCCCTGCCCTGAGAAGCAGGCTTAAAATCTTGGTGCTGGCTTATGAGTCATTTGTGTGAATTTGAACTAGGCTTTCTCTAAGCCTCAAGTTCCTCCTCTATAAAATGGAAATATAAATCGCCAAGCACAGCATCTAATGCAGAGTAGGCAACAAAAGTTGCGAGCTCCCTCCTCTCGTTTATGCAAAGACACAGAGCAGTGAAGTCAGCTGGACACAGACACATCAGAAGCCAGCTGCCAGGGCTGGAACAAGAACCCGGTTCTTCCCATCTCCCTTCACGTGCCTTCAAAATTTCTCTCAGGTCTAACTTCTGGCCCTGGAACCTGTTGCTCAGGTTTCCCACACCAAAACAAACAGCCCGTGATTTATTCCTTTTCCCGACAGCCATATTGGAAAGGGAGAGAAGAGGAAATATTTGATCTACCAACTCTCCCTTGACTCACACACACATAACACGATCTTTTTCTTGTTGCTGCTAAAATATATTTTTTTAAACCCTTTGCTCACACATAGTTCGTGTTTCTGGTAAAGCCACATCTCCCAAAGGGCAGTGACCAGGCCCCTCCTGTGAAGGCCTCTGGAATACAAACCATGGGCTCCATTCCCTACACAGAGAAGGGCCTCCACTTTAAATGCTTTCCATCACAACAAGTTTGGAAAGCAAACTGCTGTTTCTGCGTGTGAATTGGGTATTTGGGGTCATCGATCAAGTCCTGGAATCTCTGCAGCCCGATTTTCTAAATGGGCCAAACAGGCTGTCTGCCGCTGCCATGTTTTCTACTTCGATAAGGAACAGAGAGACTACAGTGGAAATCCAAGCACTGCTTTGGGGAGCACACGTCTGAGAATTTCCACTTCTTAAGGCTGGCCTAGGAGATCACTCTGGGGATATAAAATAGCAGCCTGAAGAGCGTGTGTCCCTGGCAGCCTTGCTTCTCCAAAGGAGGCGAGAAATGGGAATAAAGTATAATTGCCCAAGAAAGGGTCTCCAGCATAGAGACAGCCTCAATAAGAATGCTCCCTTTCATATCACCACAGAACTTGGTCCTTTTCAAAGGACTTTCACCTTGCCAGGATTACCTAATTTGACCTTATATTTCCCAGTTGGTGCTATTACCCCCATTTTACCCAAGGTGTTTTGCAATTTGCTCGAGGTCAGAGTGTTTTGTAACGTAACCAGACCTCCTGCCTAGTCCATTGCTCTTTTCATCATAAGCCACCACAAATCCCCACAGCACAGGAAAGAGACGTTCGAAGACTCAGGTCAATCCCCTCCTGCTTTAGGACTCTTCAGCCTAAAGGAGCAGAGGAGCTACTTATGTGTATACTTTGAGGACCAGAGGGATTTGGGGGCTGCCCGCACCCAGGACTCACTCAGAAAGATAATGGTCTGCCTCCTGGCTATCCTGCTGTCCTCACTCTCCGACTTCCTCAGCTGCGGCTGCCACCCCTTCCCGGCCAGCGGGCCCTGCTTGCTCCTCTTGAGCACCTGCATCATGTTCCAGCACATGAAGGCCACAGAAACCAGGACCACAAGGTAAATGATGAAGGCAACGAAGATGCTGGATTGGTACACCGTCCAGCGGCTGGAGAGGTTGGTACAGATGGACATGTTGGAGATCTCGGGCTCCTTGTGGTGGCGGGTGAGGGAGAGGTTGCAAGTGAGACCCCTGTGGCTGGGCACAATCACCAGGGGGTACTCAGTACCCATGGCAAAAAGCAAGGGCAATGCCACCAGGGTGGAGGTGACCCAGACGAAACCAATCAGCAGCTTCACCTGGCAGGGCCCTGACACGGCCTTATACCTGAATGGGTGGCAGATGGCAAAATAGCGCTCGAAGCTCAGTGTCAGGATATGCAGCAGCGTGGCATAGCTACAGGCCTCAAAGAGGAACGTGTGAAGCTTACAGGGCAGGGCATAGCTGGGTGTGGTCAGCGGGTTCCAGATGATGCTGTAGAACTCCATGGGCATGCCAATGAGGAAGACCAAGATGTCCGAGCAAGCTAGGCTCACCATGTGATCTGTGACCTCCTTCTGCAAGTAGCCTTTCTTCTGCAGCAGCTGGGTGACATGAATTGTGATGCTATTCCCCAAGATGCCCGCCACGAAGATGACCAGGTACACCAGGATGAGGGTGATTTTGATCCAGGTAGCCACTTCGAACTCTGGGACATGGCTGTGATTGATGATATGGGAGCAGTCACCCCCGAGGCTGCTGGGTGAAGCCATGAGCAAGAAAGCCAGCCACCAGATCCAAAGACCTTCTCAGTTTCCCTTCCTCCTCCCAGAGAAACCCAAAGTTCTTGGCAGCAACTCACCAGAATGGACACAGGATGCTCTCTCACTCCATGTCACCTGGGAAAGGGAACATAGTATTTCAGCTGCTTTCATGGAAACCCGGAACAGCTCAAACTAGAAAAGGCTCGGAGGCGACTGTGGGTGGAGTTTTGGAGTGTGTATGAGTAAGTGAGGTGGGGAGAGGGCGGAGGATGAAGGTGCTAATCTCCCATTTCGGCAGTGAGACCCGAAGCTACTGGATGTGCTCTGTCTTCCAGCCCCAGGGTCCCCTCCCAGCTGCCTGGCATTTGCTGCCCCGGCCCACCCTCCAGGAACACCCTCTCTGCAGCTGCGGAAGGCAGTGTGGTCAGTGATTAAAGATTAACCACCTTCGGCTGGGCTCTGCGGCAGGCTGCCGGCCCAGTCTAGGGGCGGGGGTTGACTCAGCACATAGGCATCGTCTTCGAAACCAAATTTTGGCTCCGGTTCCCTGGCGAGGGGTGGCCCACCCACCCCCGTCGCACACGCGGCCACTGCGGACCTAGCCGCCGCCATCGCCCAACGAGCATCCCAGGGAAGTGCAGCCCGGGAAGCCGAGTGCCCTCCGGGCTTCGAATCCAGCGCTGAGGCCAGAGAAGGACGAACTTCCCTCCCCGTTCCCCGCAGCCGCCCTGAGGCCGCTACAAAGCTTAGACCTGGGCCAGTTTAGGGGCGGCTGGAGCCGGGCGCAAGAGGCCTCCTGCCAGTCAGCCGGCCGCCCTGGAGAAGCTGGCACTTGGGGCACTTGGGGTTGTTTCCAGTGGGCTGCGTTCCTTGAAGCTGTCTCGGGAAGTCGACCCCAGTCTAATACCCACTGCCTTCCAGTGGATTCCGACTCATAGCGACCCTATCGGTCAGAGCAGAATTGCCTCATAGGGTTTCCAAGGCTGTAAACTTTACGGGAGCAGACTGCCACATCTTTCTTCTCAGAGCGGCTGGTGGGTTTGTACTGCTGACCGTTTGCAGGCTAATTAGGATTCCCATAAAAGCCCTGCCTTTTCCCCAAAACCTCCCGGTGTCCTACCTGTTCTCACCAGAGAGACCCGGTAGCACGAGGTCCCTCCTTTCAGTTTCACCCTGCGTAGCTTCAGAAAGCCTTTAACTGCGGACGTGTAGGACGCACAACCCGCCCAAAAGGCTGCGGGTGGAGAAGTGCGCCCGCCCACAAGGGACCTGGACATCAACAGCACGAGGTCCCTTTAGGGCCACAGAATAAAACGCAATTGGGACCGTGATATTTTCTCCCTATTCACAGAGAGGAAAAGCTCTAATGGGTCCGTTTTCATCTTCTAAATTTCAAAATTAGAGGGAATGAGGGAGGGCTGACCTGTGCATTGCGAGATGTTTAGCAGCATCCTGGTCTCCATCCACAAGATGCCAGTAACAGCCCACACACACACACACACACACACACACACACACACACACAGTTGTGACAACTAAAAATGTTTCCAGATATTGCCAAATGTGCCCTGGGGGCAAAATCTCCCCAGACTGAGAACCACTGCACTGAAGGAATAAAAGAGATCCCTAATACCTACAACTAGCTTTTATGGAGTGCATATCATGTGCCAAGGAGTCCCTGGGTGGCAAAAAACAGGTAAGTGCTCCTCCGAACCCACTCAGAGGTGCCTGGAAAGAAAGGCCTGGAGATCTGCTTCCCAAAAATCAACCACTGAAAACCCTACGGACCGCATTTCTACTCTGACACACATAGAGTCGCCATGTGTCAGAGTCGACTCCATGGTCACTTGTTTGGTTTGCTGGGTTTACTATGTGTCAGGCCCTGTGCTCGAGAAGTCTTTATCACAACAACCCCCCGTGATAGGATCATTTTAAAGATAAAGGACCTGGAGTGTCTAGAGGATGGTTCTTTCCCATGGCCACAAGAAAGTAAATGAGAGACTTAACAATCAACCCAGATCTGTCCCAGCCCTGAGTCCACACTCCTAACCATGATGGAATTCTGGGAGAACAGTAGGTGCTTGGGAAATATGTCCCGAATGAATGCACATAGAGATATGGAAGCTGTGTTTTCTGAATCCAGCCTTGGACACGTGATCTGACAACCTAAGGGAATATTTGATTTTGATATCATGGATGGGGGGAGGGGGGAATAAGCCACATGGCCATTGACTCTTTACAGTTAGCTCCGTATGTGGTCCTAGTTATGTTCTCTATTTGTTCTTTCTATTATTTTATGAGCTCCCAGAGCTAAGGACTGTATCTTCTCTCTCTCTGACATCTCTCCACAACACCATAAAGTAGTATGCTTGCTGGAGGGCGAAACGCCCCCCATGTGTGCTATTTGACCCACCTACTGGTGGAACAGGAAACTCCTCATCATTTCCTTAAGGATGCACTGTGCTTACTATAGAACCAAGGCAGCATTGTATCTGTCCCCCAAAACTCAACTGGGTAAGCACAGACTCTTGGGGCTTTCATGACTCCAGATTAGAATCCTGATTTGACTCCCCTGCAGAAGATCCTGGTTCTTTGCTGTCCCTCAGTCTAACACACACACATACACACCCCTTACTCCTGCCTGGCTTCTTTCTTCTCAAAGCTGTAAACAAGCTGCGAACCTCACAAGTATTCCTCATCCCATTGTCCTCTGTTTCAATCCTCACAGCCTTGCAAGGCAGATACTGTTATCTCCATTTTACAGATGAGGAAATTGAGGATGAGGGAGGGGGTTAAGTTACCTGCCAAAAAGGGTCAGAGGCAGGATTCAAACCAAGGTCCCTCTGGAGACAAAGCACTTTTCACTGTGCGATGCTATCTTCCTGTGCAGAACAAGGCTGTGCAGGCGGAACAGTGGCATTCTGGGAAAGGGATACTTTCAGTCACCAGACCCAGTACTTCTCATCTCCCTGGCAGTGGCATGCCAGCCATCCTGCAATATATTTGATAATTCCAATTGGTTCTGCTCAGACAAGATTTCCATTATTGTATGATTCCTTTCATCAAATTTTTCTTTCCCAAAGTGTGAACAAAGATTACGAATGTATGGCCAAATGGTGAGAATCAAGCTAATTAAAATTCTGTCCTTACAGTTGAGCTGGAAACATGCATTTTAAACTAAGGTCCAGGAGAATTAAACTTTCATTCCACCTTTGCTTTTCCTAAGACCAAGTAATAACTGCTCAATGGGCTCTCAATTGTTGATAACAAGACTGGTATAGCACCTGGCTTGGGTATGTGTAATCTAGATTTTTTATTAGCATATTTTGTAAAGGGTGGGGGGAAAGGAATGAGAAATGAGGGGAAAGAATACTTTAGGTACCTTTTGATTTCAACTCTACTCAAGATTCACTCTAGGGACTACACAAATTTGTATTCACGTTCTACACAATCTAGATAATCTTTGGGGTCAGCTAGGTCAGTTAGCTTCACATTTATTTTAGCATGAAATCTTAATTTACAATAAAATCTGACACTAGCATCCAAAGTAAAAGCACACACATATACACACACACATATATGGTATTTTTATAAATTTACATCGATTCTGTGTGCTCAAATTGGTAACATTTACTGTCTTCAAGTCAATCAACAGCCTGTATTCTAGAAAGTAAATAATACCTTCTTTACAAAGGTCCATGGTAAAATCACAGTGAGTAGCTCAGCCAGGGACACTTAGATTCTTGGAGCCCTGGTGGCATAGTGGTTAAGAGCTCAGCTGCTAACTAAAAGGTCAGCAGTTCAAGTCTACCAGCCACTCCTTGGAAACCCTATGAGATGGTTCTACTCTCCTACAGGATCAATTTGAGTCGAAACCAACTCGATGGCATCCAACAACATAGGTTAAGCTACAAAGAAAACTTCAATAATTTTTAAAAATTATAAGCAGAGTTCTGGCAAAATGGCGCTCTAGGCAGAAGCACCACGCCGTCCCTCCACAGCAAAGATCCGAAAAACTAAGTCGAACAGAGAATACAACAATCCTGAAACCCTACAACATCAAATGAAGAGATAATGAACTCAGCCAAGCACCAAATGGAGTGAGAAAACTGACAGAGAACAGAGGCGAGGAGAGATTCATGCAGAGGTCCCCTACCAGCTAACGCAGCGTGGATCCACCATCTTGGACTCCTATCGGAGACCAGCAAACGGGGGTACGAGAAAGCAACCTCATGGAGCATCCAGCAGCAGACAAAACAACCGGTAATTTGCGGTGTACGCTTTCCCACCCCCCACCCCTCTTCGCCCCTGCTCGGCCTCTTCTGCTTCCCGCAGCCACGGTCTCTTGACCGGGAAGCGCCGGCTGCTTGGATTCCACACACCCAAGCCCGGGGCTCTCTGGGTGCCATTTGTTGGCTGCTAGTCTTACTTTTTTTTTCTGCTTCTTTTGATTTCTCACTTTCCTCTCGCCACCTCCCCCTCCTTACACTCGAGTGCCTGGCTCCGTGCGCCACCTTTGCTTCTTCCTGAGGGGCTGCAGAGCACCGGCAATTTGTGATATACACTTTCCCACTCTCTACCCTTCTTCACCCACACTCAGCCTCCTCTGCTTCCCGTGGACACAGTCTCTTGTCCAGAAACACCAGCGCGCACTACCTGGCTCTCTGAGTGCCATTTGTTGGCT